ATAGTGCGTCTGTCTCTCTTTAGTTCGCGTATATCCGAGCGAAGTGCGTCTGTCTCTTTCTAGTTCGCGTAGCGTTACCCACGCGCAGTATATCTGTCTCTCTCTCTCTCTCGTTCGCGTAACGGTTACCTTCGCGAAGTGCGTTTCTCTCTCTATATCTAGTGCGTACACTGCGCTACTTTACACAACGTTCCTTGTATTTTATCACAACTCTACCGTTTAAGTTAAGGTACATTCTCACATATTTACCGTTTAAGTTAAGGTACATTCTCACATATTTATCGTTTAGGTTAAGATCTATTCTCACATATTTACCATTTAGGGTAAAGTTATATTCTCTTTGCGTTCATACCGTCGAATCTCTGCGTTGTCGATGGTAATTTTAATCACAATCATTTGCATTTACTTGCTCGATCAACTAACTGATCTCGAGCATTGCTATTTACTTTATTTTCCAGGTTAATTCGTGAGCATACGCTCTTTCTACGGTTGTAATTTAATTTGCGTTCATTCTATGGTCCTTCGATGTCATTTAACAAGGAGGCTGCGATTGCAGATACACTATAAGAATTTTAGACTGAATTTGTGTTTAACATTAAATATTGTTTCTGATAAGATTTTATGTGTCTCTTGTCCTCTCGCCGCTCAACATTAAGGCGGACGAAAGTCCCCCTCACTGAGTTATCTATTTTTTAAACAAACATGATATAAGGTTTGTACCGTAATAGTGCAATATAACCGAATACGACGAATGCAATGCACTGAAACAGAAGGCATCGATCGAATACGTTGCACTGGGAAAGTTTGCACTCAGTGTACACTAGTGTACATTAGTGCAAGCGACCGAATTCGCTATTATATTGAAACAAATAAAATTCATTTAAAACTCGGAACACTTTGCCAATACTTGAGTGGTGATTGCATTGATTTAGAAGGAAGATGTACATTTTGGGAAACAATACCGTATAACTTCTGCAAATTTAATCATTATGATATTTTATATGAAGTTAATGCAATAAGATGGTCAGTGACATAAACGAAAAATTACAAATCATTTATTCCCTGTCAACACAAGACGTAACATTTGCCTTATCTCCAACTGGTGAAGAGCTTCTTTGTGGATATACTCTAATTAAAACAGAACATCCTAATAATCCAAAGTTTTGTGACGGCTCTCCGTAAAATAAAGTTAAGAGGGAAGAAACGGCCAATGTGAGCCCACAGCAGGTGTCAGTGCGATAATATTAATCATAAAGATCACTTTATTAAGTTTCAAACGTTTCGACCCGTTTTTGGGTCATCCTCAGTGCTGGATTAACAAAAGTGATACATAGTGTTAAACAATGATTGTTGATATAAATGTGGTGAGTAAATATAATGAATTTCTATACCTAATAAATAAATTGAATCCCACTCTCCCCCGATCCTCTGACAGTTTCAAATGCGTTTTTTCCTTTGAACTGGTGATTGCCAAGTAAAGAGATCTTTTGTTTGTTTTAACATTTTTCTAAAATTGTAAACATTAAATTTAACTGGCTTCTCAAAAAGAAAAACAAAGTCGAGGCGAACAAACTACATACAATCAAATATTATTGCAAAATAAACTTAAACCAAGTCAACTCTGGTGACGTGTCAGATAGAACTTATGACCGACCTTCCTTTTCGTTCAATCCTCCACAACAAGACATCCCCTTTGAGATTTCTATTAATCCTAACTCCTTTCCAGACCCGTCACCACCTTCTCTTGTCAACAAAAGATGGTTTGTCAACCAATCCTCTACCTATATTCCACCACACATCCAAAGCTTATTGCAACTAGGTGATTGATTTTGCCTACCGGAGTGTAATAAGAATAATATTATCACGGAATTCAGTAAAAATATTGAAAACAACATAGGCAAACTCCCGATTGACAAACGAGAAATTATTAGAGGGAAATCTTTCCCCATAATCAACAAAATTTCTTCTCATCAATTCAATTTGAACTCTAACATGAAAAACTTAACACTTATCGCCAACGACACAAAGAGATTCCTACGAGAACACCCAGAAATAATCATCACCAGAGCTGACAAGGGTCACACAACAATCGCAATAGATAAAGACATATACATAGAGAAAATGGAGACCTTACTTAATGATAAGAACACTTATATCACAATTAAGAAAGATCCCACAAAAAAATTAATTAGCGGTCTACACAAGATATTAATGGACTGGAAGAAATCAAATTACATAGATAATTCCATCTACAGGAGACTTAATTGTACGGATGGCACACTACCAAGAGCCTATGGGCTCCCCAAGATCCACAAACCGGAATGCCCACTCCGTATAATTGTTTCTTCAGTGGATAGCCCACTTTATTCCTTTTCCTTTTTTTACACAACATCATTAAATCTTCCATTCCGAAACCACAGAGCCACATTCTTAACAGCTATGATTTAGTCAACAAACTCAATGGACGTCACAACCAAGAAACACATGATTTGATCTCATTGGATGTTGTTTCCCTTTTTACTAATATACCATTAGACTTAGCAGAAGACAGTATCACTACTAGATGGACATACATAAGCGAAAAGTGTGCCATACCCCAAGAAGAATTTTTGAAAGCAATTCGATTTGTACTAAAATCCACCTATTTTTCTTTCAATGGCAAGATCTATCAGCAGACCTTCGGCACACCCATTTGTTCCCCGTTGTCACCAATTATCGCAGATATCACAATGCAGGACCTGGAGAACAGGGCCATTGAGTTGCTTAATTTTAGGCCTCCCTTTTATTTTAGATACGTAGACGACATTGCTCTAGCCGTTCCCTCGCATATGAAAGATTCAGCTCTACAGATTTTCAAATCGTTCCATCCGAGATTACAATTCACCATTGAAGAGGGAACAAACAGAAAATTGAATTTTTTAGACACAACAATAATTATTAGAGACGACCATATAGAATTTGACTGGTACCAGAAACCGACGTTCTCCGGAAGATATTTGAATTTCAAGTCCTGTCACCCTCTCTGTCACAAAAAAGGTACAATCATTTGTTTGGTCGATCACGCTTTATTACTTTCCCATCCAAGATACCACCAGAAAAATTTGGAGCTCGTCATCAACATCCTATTACAGAATAGTTACCCACTTCCTCTAATATTCAATACTCTAAACAGAAGGATAAAATATTTTTCAAACAACCAGACCTTGAAACAGACAGAGAATAATACTGATAGCACAGCAAGGAAAAAATTTTTCAGTATACCTTACATTCCCAAATTTTCACTACAATTCAAACAGGTTCTCCATGATCTTGATATGTCTCTCTCGTTCACTGGCATGAATAAACTTAGTTCTTTTATTAAAGGACACAAAGACCCTCTCCCAAAAAGTGCCCATAAAAATGTAGTATACAAAATCTCCTGCAAAAATTGCGATTCTTCATATGTGGGCTAAACAGGCAGATTACTAGATACCAGAATTAAAGAACACCGCAACCAAATCAATAGAAACACACAACAACCATCAGTAGTCACAGAACACAGACTTCTTGGTCACGAATTCGATTGGGATAGGATTGACATTCTAGATAGGGAAACATTTTTATACAGACGTATGATTTCTGAAATGATTTTTATACAAAGACAAAAGTCCAGACTTAATTCACAGACTGATACAGACTTTTTAAACATATATGACCACATTATTAAGAATTTGGATGATATTTAAAAATTTAGCGCCAACAAAGTTACATTACCAACAGATTTAATGTTTTGCCAATCCTTTTGCCCTACACTTGTCTCAATTTATTTTTATACCACTATCGTCAATTGGGTGGCTGCCTCCCGTCGGGACGGTCCTTTGGCACTTTCGGTGAGTTACTAAATTATATTTCCAAACGTAGGTTCAACGCATTACTTTTACATTTTTAGAAAAATGTTAAAACAAACAAAAGATCTCTTTACTTGGCAATCACCAGTTCAAAGGAAAAAACGCATTTGAAACTGTCAGAGGATCGGGGGAGAGTGGGATTCAATTTATTTATTAGGTATAGAAATTCATTATATTTACTCACCACATTTATATCAACAATTGTTTAACACTATGTATCACTTTTGTTAATCCAGCACTGAGGATGACCCAAAAACGGGTCAAAACGTTTGAAACTTAATAAAGTGATCTTTATGATTAATATTATCGTACTGACACCTGCTGGGGGCTCGCATTGGCCGTTTCTTCCCTCCTAATTTTAGAACATCCTAAACTTCTAATTTTAGAAACTAAAAAGGGAGAATCTCTTACCCACAGACGCAAAAATTTCAGTAGAAAATTTAGACATTTTTGCTTATGTGAATTCAAAATTTGTTTATGTAGAAAAACATATTCGCACACAAATGAATCATTTATACACTGACATACTAAAACAACGTTGTAATTTGGAACGACGAGTATTGAAGAACGCGCTCAGTATCGCGATTCACGCACCCGACGACTTCGCTTATCAAATTATGAAAGGTTCTGGCTTCATGGCAGGTGATCTCGGGAGAAGTCGTACACATCATTAAATGCACACCCATGGAAGTAAAAATTCGGCACACGCAAGAGTGCTATCAACAATTACCAGTATCAAAAGGAAACGAGACATACTTCTTGGCACCACTGACTCATATACTTTTCAAAACTGGAACGCAGACAACATGCAGCAGAATAATTCCAACTATGTAGTTTGTGATCTATCGTACGAACGCAGACTGTTTCATATTGTAACGTTTTCAGTGCCCCTTCAAACGCTGACAACGCTTGACACTTAGACAATTAGTTCAATTTTTTAATTTCTTTAACTCTATATTCTTACTGTGCGGGGTGATCCCATTTCCTGACTATGCACTTCTACACAATCGTATTCTTTGATACATCACCTGTAAGTTGTAGCGACATTGTTGCATACTTATATATTTTTCAAAAATTCAACCTTTGTATTTTCGCTCACACAGTGTAACTTTTTGTAGATTTCTTGCGGTCACAGTAATAGGTGATACTTGAGAAGGACCTGTATTACTGGTTGAAACGTCGTGTAGGGCAGTCCGATAAGTACTTAGCCTACAAAAGAAAAACGAAAATTTTCGAAAAGTGGCGATTTATTTTTCAACGATTTATTAGTCTCCTTGTAGCTCGATACACTTGACCCAGCGATGCTCCAACTTCTTTAACCCGTTTGAAAAATATGTTTTGTCGAGGTCTGCAAAGTAGGCCTCCGTGGCGGCGATGACCTTCTCATTCGACTCAAATTTCTGCCCGGCGAGTGACTTTTTCAAGTTTGGAAACAAAAAGAAGTCGCACGGGGCCAAATCTGGAGAATACGGTGGGTGGGGCAGCAGTTCGTAGCGCAATTCGACCAATTTGGCCGTGGCGACGGCGGAGGTGTGAGCCGGCGCGTTGTCATGGTGGAAGAGCACTTTTTTCTTCGCCAAATGGGGCCGTTTTTTCTTCAATTCGGCGTCGAATCGGCCCAATAATTCGGCATAGTAGAGCCCTGTGATCGTTTTGCCCTTCTCCAGGTAGTCGATGTAGATCACACCTTGTGAATCCCAGAAAACGGTGGCCATCACCTTTCCGGCCGATAGGACAGTCTTCGCCTTCTTCGGAGCACGTTCGCTGGGTGAAGTCCACTGTTTCGACTGTTCCTTGGTCTCTGGTGTGTACCAGTGGATCCATGTTTCGTCGACGGTCACGAAACGACGCAGAAACTCCTTCGAATTGCGTTTAAACAGCGTCAAACACTGCTGTGAAATGGTCTCACGGTTGCGCTTGTTGTCCGGAGTGAGCAAACGCGGCACCCATCGCGCCGACAGCTTTCTCATGCCCAAAATTTCATGCAGGATATGACCCACGCGGTCTTTTGAGATGCCTACGGTCTCAGCTATCTCGCGTACCTTCAATCGGCGGTCTGCCAATACGAGATCGTGGATTTTTGTCACGTTATCCTCCGTGGTAGCCGTTTACGGGGCACCTGGGCGTGGCTCATCAAAAACCGACGTGCGACCACGTTGAAACTCGTTAAACCAATTTTTGACGGTCGCCATCGAAGGAGAAGAGTCACCGTACACAGCATCCAAGCGCTCTTTGATTTCGCTGCGCGATTTCCCTTCCAAAAACAAGAATCGAATCACCGACCGATATTGCTCTTTCTCCATTTTTCTAAACTCCGCGGACACGCCGGCTCCCACAGGCAGTCAAAACAAAACTGCGAGTCCGATTCGGCTGAAATTTGGACAGTAGCCGTCTACGAGAATGTTCTACACGATAGTAAATTTCTTTTGCGATTGCGTCACCATCGGGCGGTGAGGCTAAGTACTTGTCGGACCACCCTCGTATTGATTGAAAATATACTTTACCAGTTATCGTCGACATAATCCTTTTATTGTTGTATGTATTTTCTCAACGATGGATGATATCACATCACACCAATTCTGGAATATAGCAAACCACCGGAAACAATGAAACCAATGTCAGAACCAACCTGGCACTACAGTGATCCTGAATCCCTAGCAGCAAGTGGCATTTACTCCAACACCGAATTTGAAAAAAGAGATCACATCATGTTTCCAGCAGAAAAGAACGGAATTCTAAACACTGTGGCATGAGACGTCAGGGGAGAACCAACCTTTTCTCAAGGAATCTCTCTCTCTCTCTCTCTCTCTCACCTACTTGACGAAAACTCATTAAAAATAACTGAAAACGCATGGAAGAAAATTTAGAGAACATTTTTATCTGTTGGCAAGTGTCGGATTAATCGGAATCTACTTTTTCATAAGAACACTAAAAATGGTAATAGATACAATTATACATGGCTATGCACTTCACACTACTATACATATATATGGATGGTCAATACATCTGATCGGAGCGCTATGGGATTCCGTAACAAATCTATTACTATATCTGGCGAAAAAACAACTTTAAAAGGAAAAAATTCAAGAAGATCAAGAAAAAACTATAAGGCAGAAACACTACCAGAAGATTCAAGTCAACAACTAGAAAACAGTACAAAAATAAACGAACCACAAACACCTAATTCTCAATCTCAAAATCTTTCAGTTGAGAATGAAACAAAAATTATCCGCAACGAAACTCATATATTACAAGGTCTGTCCTTAAAATAGTCGGACTGAATTAATTAAAAAATATTTATCGACAGGAATAATATATGAACTCAATAATCTTCGAAGTAGGACCCTTCTGCATTCACACATCGCTGCCAGCGAGATTTCCAGCTCTCATACGCTTCCTGGAAGGCTGCAGCCGGAATGCTGTTGAGCTCCCTCGTCACGGCCTGTTGTAACGCTTCCACCGAGCCGTGATGGTGTCCTTTCAGGGCGGTTTTGAGGCGGGGGAAGAGGAAAAAGTCTGGTGGGGCAACGTCGGGACTGTAGGGTGGCTGAGGCAGGCTTGCGATGTTGTGTTTGGCTAGGTACGTCGCCACGCGGAAGGCTGTGTGGCTCGGCGCATTGTCGTGATAGAGGCGCCAGGAGTTGGCGATGGCTGGGCGGACGCGGATGATGCGTTTTCTCAGCCGTTCAAGGACCTCCACGTAAAAAACTGCATTAACGGTTTGTCCTTGTGGTACAAATTCCCTGTGGATCTCCTTTGGAATCGAAAAAGCAAATGAGCATGCTTCCTCTCTTCCCTCCCGAAACAGCTTGTGCCAGTCGAAAACACTCGATCTACCCATGGCGTTATCACCGTAAGCCGTCTTGATCATATCATGAGTCTCTTTCCCGGTTTTGCCGAGCTTAACGCAAAATTTGATGGCGTAGCGCTGTTCCAAAAGATGAGCCATAGCGCAGCGTGACGAGGGCACTTGCAGAGGTTATGGAGACGAGCAATCTACACTCCACTACGGCTGCGAGCAGACACCCCCTGGCTTCCAGCCTTTCCTTAGACCCCCCTCCACCAACACCAAGCGGAAAAACCGCCGGCAGTCCGTCCGTCTGCCTAGGAAAAAATCAGTCCGACTACTTTAAGGACAGACCATGTATATCCACGTTTATAATTAAAAAAAATATATATAAAGAAATCCAACGACAGCAGGGTACATAGGCCGGTTCTAACTCGGGAGCTCCGAGGGGGGAGCGGGGCGGGGGGGGGGGTACCCCGCGGCGAGGGGACAGCGGGGAGGGGGCACTCCACGGCGAGGGGGGCGCGGGGAGGAGGAAAGTATGCGACCTTGACGTCACGCAAGATGCTGACCTGTCACTACGTGACATGTAACAGATATCTAGGTGCTGACCTGTCATCGAACA